CTTGTTAATGGTTTTTTAAAGTCTTCGGTAAATCTCATTTTTTTTTTTGCAATAATTTAGCTGCAAAATTTAAATAACTGTATTACTTTACCTCTATTGGGTATAGGTTCCCTCAGATGATTTTGCACCATTAAATATACAGGCTAAGATCTGTTGTCCTACTTCAGTACATATCTGCTTAGTCCTTTCTCAGATGTACTGTACTAGTTCTTCCTGAGGACCCCCCCCCCACAAGCGTTTGAAACTCGGGGACCTATTTGGACAGTTGTGGGACAAAGCTGATATTTAAACGATATAGCACTGATGGTTTTCAAATATGGCATATCCATTAGTTATATTTTATTAGCATTTAGGTCTCCCTAATCAAGCAGTATGCTACCCACGAAAGTGAGTTATCGAGTTATATATATTTTTGCACCTGGCATATATTATTATAAAGTAGTTGTAAAGGAAAAATATTGACTTGATGGAGGTGATGGCGCTGGTAGCAGTCCCTCCCACTTCTCCATGACTGGTTGCCACAAGATGTGCAGAGTTGTATGGGCGTGCCAGTTCCGCTATGACCCCGGTCTCGAGTCATGGCGCCCATCACCATCACCACCGTGACACCACTTACAACGGGTAAACATATTTTCTCTGAAAAGATATATAATTTTTTAGAAAATTATGAAATATTAAAAGTTTGTGTGCTTACCAGCTAATATTAATATCGCCATAAAAATGAGTGCAAACAAGAACATATAGGCTACAAGCTGTGAGAAACATTCCAACAGCGAAAGAAATATATTAGTCGGTAATGAATCTATATAATATTTCAATAAACTTGCAATAGGTGAAACATTTGTTTGTTATAAAAAAATAAAATAAAAGAGTTGAGGCTATGATCGCCAGAATGTATTGAGGTAACCTGTACATATGGCAGGGTGGTGTGGTAGACAAGGATAAATATAGTTTCCGGCACTATCTTAAAATGTAGCAGATTACAAGAATAAAATTGATACTTCCTAAATGTTTGAACAAAGTACACATTTTGTAAATAAGGTTGGTAACATTTACAAAAAAAAAATATGCAGAATTTACTGCGCTTAGATAATGGCAATTTGTTGTAGTTGTAGATATGCAGATTCTTACATGTAAAGATAATGGCTGTCCTGCCGAGGAGGGACAGGCACCTAGCAACATCTGTTATTGGGACAATGGATGCATTCTCTAGAATGTTTGTTAATTTCTCATTACTCTGTAATTTGTTCATGATTGTAACCATGTATGAACGTGTTTATGATTTATTACCTTTGTAATTTGTCGTGATTGTGGCCAGCTCTACCTGGAGCTCATTACCTTTGTAACTTGTCATGATTGTGCCCAGATCTAGTCCATTACCTTTGTAACTTACCGTGAGTGTGACCAGCTCTACCTGGAGCTCATTACCTTTGTAATAAATCATGATTGTGACCAGATCTAGTCCATTACCTTTGTAACTTGTTCATCTCTCAAAACTTTGGGGTCCAGTCCCTGGACCCATTATGTACCTCTGTAATCTTTTGACTACCGCTCACAGGATGGGTATGTGGTGCATAATAAAGATACTAAACTAACTAAAGATCAATGGCAATTTGTTGTTGTAGATATGCAGATTCGTACGTGTAAAGATAGTGATGCTTATCTGTATATTAGAGCAGCCTAGCTGCTGTATCAAGTGATGACTTAATAAAGCTTTATACAGTGAAGCATTGTCCAAATTTAAGCTTGCTATGCAACTTTTGTCTTTGTTTTCATACATATTTGCAATACGTCATTCATTGTAACCCAGGTCCTGTGAGCCTAGCACTGTACTGTTGGAAGCTGGAGGGAGTCGGGGTGTTTATAAACAGTGTATGACGAGAGTTTGAGTGACAGTTGTTGACGCTGCTGATAAGATATTTGCAGGTGGCCGGTGTATGAGAGGGTCTCTTGTGCCCATGTCAGTCAGAGGCAGATCTCGTAACCTTAGACAACGGAAAAGGGGGGCGATGATGTGATAATAATGCAGCAGTGGTGATAGTTATAACAGTATTATTAAAATAGTGATAACGATAGAAAAGTTACTCTGAAATTGAACTCTTGACATGAAGACTTTAAATTATTAATCTCTGAGAGTCGATATCCCAGGAGAGCCAAACAGTTTGGCTATTTCTATTTGGTTCCTTAAGGTCGTCTTTCTTAGGATGTGATCCACAACGGCTGATTAGTTCTTGGATATCAATTTACTTCTAGGCGAACAAGGGCAGCGAGTGTTAGGAGACTTGTACAGTTGTCTCACCTCACCCAGGATGCCAACCCGGATCTTTTCGATTGTGAGCCAAGCGCTTTATCACTGATGATGATTAGTGCTAATAATTATACAGTTCTGGTTGTAATTATAGTGGTGGTGGAGAGAATGATAGGGGACAGTATTCCTCACGAGAAGTGTACTAATGACGAGGCTAGAGATTATTACTATTATTTTTATTATTATTATTGCTGCTGCTCCTCATGAATGTAATAATAATAATAATAATAATATGATTTTTTTAATCACTTATATGAGGGTTACCTGGAGGTTATTCCGGGGATCAACGCCCCCGCGGCCCGGTCCATGACCAGGCCTCCCAATGGATCAGGGCCTGATCAACTAGGCTGTTACTGCTGGCCGCACGCAGTCCAACGTACGAGCCACAGCCCGGCTGATCCGGCACTGACTTTAGGTATCTGTCCAGCTCTCTCTTGAAGGCAGCTAGGGGTTTATTGGCAATTCCCCTAATGCTTGATGGGAGGCTGTTAAACAGTTTTGGGCCCCGGACACTTATGGTGTTTTCCCTTAGTGTACCAATGGCGCCCCTACTTTTTATTGGCGGCATTTTGCATCGCCTGCCCAGTTTTTTACTTTCGTAGGGAGTGATTTCTGTGTGCAGATTTGGGACCATTCCTTCCAAGATTTTCCAAGTGTAGATTATGATATATCTCTCCCTCCTGCGTTCCAACGAGTACAAGTCAAGTGCTTCCAAGCGTTCCCAGTAGTTAAGGTGCTTGACAGAACTTATACGTGCAGTAAAGGATCTCTGTACACTCTCTAGATCTGCGATTTCACCTGCTTTGAATGGAGATGTTAATGTACAGCAGTATTCCAGCCTAGAGAGAACAAGTGATTTGAAAAGGATCACCATGGGCTTGGCATCTCTCGTTTTGAAAGTTCTCATTAATAATAATATAAATACTTTAATCACTTGCATGAGGTGTGTATGTACAACCAAGAGATGTACATCTCTCGTTGTATAGACACACATATACACACTTGTATATTACATCAGAAGAATGCTATTCCTCGTTCTCCTTTATTTAAAAAATAATTCTTGTTTATTAATGATTGCAGTAATCTGTAAAGTCAGAAAATGTGAGAGAATGGGTAGAGAGTAATAGAGGTAGAAAAAAAAATGCAGAGATAGAGAAATATAGAGAGAGTGAGTGTGAGTTACTGACGTTTTTTACCATACTTGAACCACCACGGCCAGTTCAGGAGAAAATGAATAGAAAGTGAGTAGGCAGCAACCCTCCTGGGTATTGATTTCACTTCTCTCATGTCATTCATTGGATGGCAGAGGGTGGTGGGCAGGTAAACGTTGGCACTAGAGCATTGTGGGCAGGCAAACACTGACATCGGAGGTTGGTAGGCAAGAGAAGTGACCACTTTTAAATAAAAAAAGGCACAATACCGTGACTGGAACAATACACAAATAACTCGCACATAGAAGAGAGGAGCTTACTACGACGTTTATGGTCCAAGTCAGACCGAAACGTCGTCGTAAGCTCCTCTCTTCTATGTGCGGGTTATTTGTGAAGTGACCACCCCTCAAGGAAGGTTCCTTGATGTTGGTGAGGGGCTCTTGATTTAGGGAATTGGATCTGTGCTCCAGTTCCCCGAATTAAGCCTGAATGCCTTCCACATCCCCCCCCAGGTGCTGTATAATCCTCCGGGTTTAGCGCTTTCCCCTTGATTATAATAATAATAATGTGAAGTGACCACTTATATCTTAATTAAAAACATTAGGTACAGGGGATACCTTTTACCCAACACTTTCAGTAGGCACTGCAGTTTTCTTACACAGGGTATGGCATTTTTCGCTTGACTGCAGTTTTCATAACACATTCCATCACCCCTGGATGCGACATGCAAGTCACACACACAGGTGCCTATTTTTATTGCTGAGTGAGCAGGGACAGGAAAAGGGTAAGGAAACTGACGGTAGCCATGGGGAAGGCGAGATAGGAAGTGCTTACCCTGCGATGTTACGGTCCTTCTTCTCCTATCTTTGTGGGGATGCCAGAAATAAGTCTATTGTCTATACATAGTGTATTAGGGCCATTGTGAAAATTCAAATCTATGTTTGTAAAATCTGAATAAAAATGTCTTTTTATTTGCTATATTATATAGGAAAGTTTTGTATATATAAAAAAAATAATAGAACTGGAAATAGAAAATAAGACCTTTTAATCCATATGGAGAAAGTTCAAAAGCTTAGATAAGAGGAAAGCTGGTGAGGCAATCATTGCTTGCCAGAGCACGGCCATTCTGAAAATGGAGAGGCCTCAAGCACTGTTTCCTGTTCCTCGGTTTTTTGCATTCGGTGATAAACTATATTTCAGATTAAACATCTTGCCCAGGCATTGTAGTCGTTATTGTAAATGGGTCAGTGACTTTCTTGTGTAGCGAGCAGCGGCAAGTAGAAAGCATGACCACATCATCACACAGCATATATTTTTTTATTAATTTATATTGTAATATGACGCATCAAACTTTTAGGGAGAAAAATCCAACTCTTGAATGAAAGAAAACGAGGGTAATTTAACTGAAAAAATGCTCATTCTAGCCTTAAAGCAAAACTTCAGCTTGATATGTGCCTTAATTCTCTTCGATTATTTTATATATTTGTAAGATAAATCGTTGAAATGTCAGCACTAATTGACTTCTCTTTTTTTCCCTGCAGGTAAAAAACTGCATTCCAGAAAGCCCCAGGTTTGATGCATGTGTTAATATGAAATTTACTGTTCAGGTTTATTTTGTGTTGTTTAGAGTTGGTGGAATGTTGCCTGTGAGCTTGTAGAATGTTGCTTGTCAGCCTGTGAAATGTTGCTTGGCAGCCTGTAGAATGATGCTTGTCAGCCGGTAATACAGTTATACAGGTGTGTTTGTATGGAACGTGGTGTAATTGACATATATGCAGTTTTTCTTTTCAGTAAGATTGCAATTATTTCTTCGAATACTACAAAAGGTAGAGAATCGTTTCGAAATTGCATCAGTATATAGTATATACATAGTAATTCATAAATACAGAATTGAATGATAAGAATTTATTTGCTTACTCGGGTAGCACTGGAAAGGGCCCGGGCTGAAATGAGCCACATTGTTTGACTTTGTTAGACTGTCCTAGGTTAAATCTACATAATTTATCACAAGTGTATTCTTACATTTATGTGCTTTCCAAACCTTAATACCTTTAATGGGTTTCATGAGAGATATGAGAAGAAGTGTAAAATGTGCTCACTGAAAAACAGGGGCGCCGTGGGCACAATAAGAGAACATTGTATCAACATCCGTGGCCCCAGACTATTCAGTATCTTATCAGAAGATATCAGAAACTCCTGGGAACAATGTAGAGGTCTTCAAGAGGTAACTGGACAAGTTTCGCTACCAAATGCCAGATCGGTCAGGCTTTGATTGGTATGTGGACCAGTGGGCCGCCAGTAGCAACAGCTTGGTTGACCAAGCAAGAACCAGACAAACCTGGCCCAGAGCCGGGCTCCAGTAGTAGAAAAACTCTCGAAACTCATCAGAAGAGAAAAAAAAGATCGGAGACTTCCGGCAGCCCGGCCCTGGTCAAGCTTGCCTGGTGAACCAGACTGTTGTTATTGGCCCACATATCCATCACAGCCTGGCTGATCTCGCACTTGGCGGTGGTGTTTGTCGAATTTTCCCATTATACAAAATTATAATTTTGTTTGTCAGATCACTTGTAGATTTCTTGGATAGCTTTTCTCTCTCCAGCCTGAGTGAGATGGATCCACGAAAAAGTCACGGGAGAAAAGGTAACAATACAAACCTAACACTGAATATACATGTAATGCCACGATATTGTGTAAGATGTTTTCAATTTCTGCATGTTATGTATTGCCTTACTTTGCTTAATTAAGATGTTGAATAAAACGGGAGTTTTTTTTTATATATGTGTAATACCATCATATATAAACCATACCACGGGCGGGGATAGAACCCGCGATCAGTCTCAAAACTCCAGACCGTCGAGTTTTGAGACTCTGATCGCGGGTTCTATCCCCGCCCGTGGTATGGTTTGTTTACAATCGTGTCATTACGATTTAGTGAGTCATGAAACCATCATATATAAATTGTGTTGTCACTGTCTATAAGCAAGTCATGTACTGTCAGTTAATTAATAACTGGTTTAAAATATTTTTTTTTGTTTTATTACTTTAATTGTTTATGGTATTTAACTAAAATGTGATTTTTTTTTAGTTACTGTTTTTCCCTAGCCAAAACTGTGACATATTTTCTGTGACTTTTTCTCCCTGTAACCTTTTTTTCCGGATATCAAGTGAAATGTATCGTACTCCTGCTGATTCAATAATAAGTCTCGTTTTTCTGATCTTAAAAAAGGTATGAATCAAACCATACCACGGGCGGGATTTGAACCCGCGGTCAGAGAGTCTCAAAACTCCAGATCGTCTGGAGTTTTGAGATCTGACCGCGGGTTCAAATCCCGCCCGTGGTATAGTTTGTTTGCAATCGTGTCATTACGATTTCGTGAGTCAAGGGTATGAATATCTGTTATTGTATATACACAAAGTTTATTTTAATATATTTTAGCCATTAAAGAGCTCTGATGTTAGTATACATGACAATTATGACTTAAATGACCTCGTGCAGTCGTAATGGCAGTGGTTCAGTATTAACGTACGTACCCGACATTTAGGGTCATGAGTTCAATCTTACACTCTAAAGATGACAACAAGAATGCGGATATCGTGGTTATGTGAAATGGGTGGTATTTATATTATGGAGTAGGTATATCAAGTATGCTTGTCAAGTGCTTGAGCTGGTGTTTGCTTCGCCTGGTATGAGCAAGTGGTATGCTAATTGTTACCCGAGTGACTTGGGAGAACACGGGGTGTGCAAACGTGCTTGTTTCAGGCTTGTTGGGGAGGGGGAGGGGTTTGGGAAGAGCAAGTATATTGAACCAGGGGAGGGGAAAGAGGGTTGGTGGATTGGGATGGGGGTATATGGTGGATGTTATGAATGTATGAGAAAGTTGTGTTTATGGTTATAATAATAATAATCTTATTTCTACAAGTATATCATACAATTTAGGACTGCGGTGGAGAGGAAAAATTACAGGACTATGAACAATTAAGAAACTCAAGAATACAAAGATAAAGAGTATACTGAATGTAAGTGAAGTTGTGTAAAGATTTAGTGCCATCTTACGTGCTCATGAGACAAAAATGTCCAGTAATCCTGCCACTGAAAAAAAAATGTAACACTCTTTCACCTCATGCTCTTATGATAGTACTATAAGAGAGCAGTGGACAGCTGTCCTCCAAATTAAATAGACATTTCCGCATTAATTACGGTTCGTTAATTTTTGCCAGATTTAAACCTCGACACAAATATTCGTTATAATGTGTTAGCTTAGACGTACTGTTAGTATCCACATGCACGCTGTTTAGGTTGTGGATGAGCCTTGGTATCCACATACATGTTTAGGTTGTAGGGCGAGGTAACTTTAGAGTGGAGAGAGGTTGAGGAGGTAAGGTGGGAGAAGGGGAGGAAAGGGAGAGTGGGAGTAGCGTGGGAAGAAAGGTTGAAATGGAGGGGCATTATTAGGTGGGAGGGATGATAGGGGGGGGGGATTTGGTGCCTGGTAGGATTCAGAAGTGGAGAAGGGGAGGGGGGTTACTGGGTAGTTGTGAGTGTGGGTAATCTCACCCACATATTTAAACTAACGACTGCAAGCGGTTACGTTACCCTGCAGAATTGTATTTGTTGCCTTATATATAAAAATAGTGTCGCCATATTTTTAGGTAATCTTGATTTTAGATTTGTTTTTTGGTTATAATTTATTGTATATTAAATATTGTATATTTTATAAATTTAAATTTTAAAGTTGCAGGTTTGGGGATGTTGCAATTCGTAGTCATTTGAAATGTGATGCCTACACATTTCTGGTAAGAGAGATATTGAATGAATAATGGCCAATATTTTATTTTTTTTTGTGGAGATGCATCGCCCTACCTCGGTGGGAGACGGCTGGTTTGTAAAAAAAATAAATATAATTAGCAACTTTGAAAATATAACTAGCACCTAACAGGGTAGATAAATTATTTATACAACATTGTTATTAAATATAAGTCTATCAGATGCATGTGGGTCATTGAGATAAACTCACTGTCAGGAATACTTGAATCCAAAAAAAATATAAATTAAAGTTAACTCGGTATATATGCAATGAGAAAAGCACCTTGACATGTACAGTATATCCGCCGAGCAGGCTGAACGAAGGGTGGAGGGAAGGGAATTATGATAGATTCTAGATCATGAACCCTAAGCTAACCTAGAATAATATTTAATTTGATTTGGTTTAGATCGTGCAGAAATTAGCGTATTGCAGCGCGTGCGGATGCGCATGTTCTGTTTGGGGGACATGTTGCAGGCGAGGTCAGTTCTCACATATAAAAGTTGACATTGTTCCCAGTGTAAGTGAGGTGAAACTTAAAGGCGGTGCATGCTCATTATTATTACGAGAAGCGCTAAACCCGTAGAAATTGTATAGCACCTGGGGGAATGAGGAGATCTAGTTTAAGCAGAAGGGGAAGATAGCTTTATTTCCTTGGATCAAGATCTCTTCCCCGGCATCAAGTACCTTCCCCCAAATTGAAGAGGGTGTGACACTGTTGAGAACCCTTGTAACGCATTTTTTTTTTCAATTAGAATCTCTGAATGTATTAACACTGGTTTCAAGTCATGCTGTGGAGGTAGAAGAACCCTCGGAATACCTCACACGTGCAGCATGGTGACTAACCATCAGATCCTCCGCTTATATATCTGGAGACACACTACTAGGTGTTCTGGGAATCTGGAAACACAACTGCTTAGTGATGTGTCAGTCTGGAGATACACACAACTATTCAGTGATGTGTTAATCTGGAGATATTGTCAATCTGGAGACACACTGTTCAGTGGTCTATGAAGCTGGAAGCAGACACTACTAAATATCTTTTATACACACTGCTCGAGTTTATTACTCTCTTCATGGAGATGTTGCGGCCATACCGCCACCTCCTCCAGCTGTGTTCTCAATGTTCACTGAAGCCACGGGTCTTCAACCATAACTATGAGTAGTAGCGTCTGACCTAGACTTGTGACTCCTTCGAATTCTCTCACTCTCTCTCTTCGAAGGCGCACGTATAGGAGCAAGTCCTAGCTTCTCAGCACCTGGTCTCGCCCTTACTGCTTTGAACTGAGAAAGTAACATAGCACTAACACGCATCTTTCTCTTCACCTTCGTCTATATCTTTTGTTTTAATACGAGGTGGGTCCTTCGAAGGAGGGGGGGTGCCTCGAAGTTGAACTGATCGAAGGAATTGTGGCTACCCTACCCTTCCTTGGATCATACCTGATTGTTTCACATTTCTCAGGCGCTTACCCTTACGAGGTTAACGCTTCCCCCTAGTAATAAGAACTCTGAGGGGTAGAGAGAACGAATCCGATAAAGCTATCGGAAAAGGACTGTAAAATCATACGAGTTTGCACGAAAGGAGGGCAACGAGTGAAAGTAGGCAGGAGAAAGAGTGATAAACCATGTATAGAGAAGGTGAGAGTAATAGGGAAATGTGAGATTAGCATGAGAGAGAGAGGAAGATATATCAGATTATACCATATGTTGTCTCGAATTCATTTTACATCAGCAATCAATCATATCAAATACGAGACAAGAAAAGACTAACACAAGAGGTAGAAAAGTAGGAAGAGAAGATAGATTGAAATATAGAATGATGCATAGGGACATGGGGGAGAAAAGGGACAGAAAACGGTGAAACAGTAAAGCAAAGGATGGACAGGATGAATGAAGGAGGGTTAGGCTAATTGAAGAAGGAATGGGAAGGAGGTATAGGCTGAACAAGGGTGGGGGAGTATGATGAAGAAAGGATATAAATGGTATAAAATATTTACACGATGGAAAAAGAGACAAATGTAGTATAATGATAGCCTTTATTAACAACGTTTCGTCCACACAGTGGGCTTATCAAATGACAAACATATCTGATTTGAATAGAACATAAGAATGGAGGAACACTGCAGAAGGCCTACTGGCCCATACAAGGCCCACTGGGCGAGACATTGCCAATTAAGGATCATATTATATTACATTTGTTATTTTCTGTGATGAAAGAAGGGAAGGAGGGATATAATGGAGGAGGGAGGGAGAGAAGGGAGACGTTTAAATGACGGTTGGAGGGACTGCATTCCAAGGATTCTTGCCAAGGGAGTTGACACTAGGCTCGCCCGTGCGTGCTCCTCCTGGGTGTTGGGGCGCCTAGGGTATCCTGCAAGACACTGGGAGCTGTTTACCTGACAGAGGGAGGGAAGCAGGGGTGGCAGACACTTGCATCTGTTTACCTGACAGGGAGGGAAGCAGGGGTGGCAGAAGCACTGGTAGCTGTATATCTGACAGGGAGAGAAGCAGGGGTGGCAGAGGCACTGGTAGCTGTTTATCTGATGGAGAGAAGCAGGGGTGGCTGAGGCTATCTTGAGCAGAAAGAGGGGTGAGACGAAGTACCATCAGAGTAAGAGATGGTATAAGGTTCCAGAAGTATAAAGAGGGAGGGTAGGAGATACGAGGAGCACAGTAGTAGGAGGTAAGCAGGAGCAGAAAGAGGGGTGGTGGGAGACACGAGGAGGTAGCAGGGGTAGTGGGAGACACGAGGGGTAGCAGGGTTGGTGGGAGGTAGCAGGAGCAGAACGAGGGGTGTGAGAGGTTCCGGGCCCTGGTTGAAGGTGCTTGCAACCGTTAGTGGATTACTGAGTTTTTAAAATTAAGTACACACACAACTTGCTGCAACCCTATTCTATATGAGTTACATAGGAAGAACAAAGGTTAGAGATGTTTCCATGTTGTATTCTATCGTAC